CGTCCAGTGTAGGCAGACTTTAGAAGTTGTAGACCCGGTGTTACTCACCTATTGAGAAGAAACAAAGCAACCTCGGCGTCCGATCGCAGGCCTCCGCTCCTCGAGTTCTCTCCAGCGCTGGAAAGCTGATCCGATATTTACACGGGTCCTACTTCTTGCCTTATCGTTCCGCAGACGTTTTCCTCTTTTGTTTTTTATCCGCCATCTCTATCTTTCTGTCGCTCGGCTTGGCTAATGTCCACATCACGAGTAGACACGCCCCTTATTGTTGATTGGCTACAAGTTTGTTTTTGCTATTTGTTTTTGAAAAATCACATACCCTGCCTTTAAGGGGATATGGAAGCCCATTTCTGCCACATAAGGAAAACATGGTAACAAAAAAGTAAATACTATGTTACAATGATAAGATACTATAATTATGAGATAAAAAGTCTAAATTATGACATACTAAGCCATAATTATGAGATAAGAAGTTGACTTTATGACATACTAAATCAGAATTATGAGATAAAAAGTCTAAATTATCAGATTAATGTCATAATTATGAAACATAAAGAGAGAGTCTAAATTATGACATACTAAGTCATGATTAAGTGATGAGAAGTATAAGGCTGTATTCACACCAGGAGAGTCCACTAGTTCACTTGCTTTGGTCCGGACCAAATACAATGTAGATTTTTTTTTGTTTGGTGTGGTTCGCTTTCACACTGCCCTTTTTGCAAGTGAACCAGAAACTGTAAACAAAACCACACGTGTGCTTAAAGTCATACTTTCATTGGTTTATCCATTCAACCGTACTAGAGTTCGTTTGGAAGTGGACCGAGACCACCTCTTCAGCTGGGTCTCGGTACGGTTGTTTGGTCCGCACCGCACGAGTGCGATTGCTGTATTCACACCTGCCCAAAAGATCCGCACCAAAGGAGGAAACGAACTTGAGTTCGATTCAATCAAACCAAACAAGACAGGTGTGAATACACCCTAAATTATATTTTATATGGGTGACACAGAAATCAAAATGTCATAATTGAGATAAAAAGTTGATGTTTTTAATATAAAATTTGTATTCATGACATATAAAGTCAAAATTATTACATTATACATATATATTTTTGTCATCATTTTGACTATTTAATCTCATAATTATGAATTTCTGTCATAATTTTGACTTTTTATAAGATAATTTTTACTTTTATGTCATATACTGTATGTCATTTCAACTGTTTTTCATAATTTAAATGTATTATCATGTACCAAAGGTGGAAATGTTGGCTTACATAAGTGGCAGAAAAAACATAAGTAAATGTAAAAAATGTGTGATGTCCAAAATGAACAACTGAAATTAGTCAGGGTGAGCGGATTCTGATTAAAGTAACTTAGACCCACCCTAGTAATTACAGCCAATGCCCCTAGCAACCGATTTTACAGACTTGCTGGTGGAAATTTCAAGTTCAAACATGTTGATAGACTATTTCTGTACATTTTTGAGTTAATGAGATTCTCTCTGAATTCCCCTCATTCGTCTTACAATTTTCTCCCCAGCTGTCTCTCACAATGGTCTCACCTTGCATTACACCCAATAGAAACCTGGTCACTGTCATGGTAACAAGAGGTCGAAGTCCAATGTTGGCCAGAAGCGGCGTGATAGCCGTCATCACGGCCCAGGAGGAGGTGGACAGCAGCAGTACTCTCTCTCCTCCTATCCTGTAAAAACAATGCTCATCATCATCATCATCATCATCTTCTACTTTCCATAATTGATCTACGACCTGTACCCTTCACCAAAACACTCACCTATCACTGGCATGGCCACCAAGTACCTGAGTAAAACAGTAACCCCAGAAAAAAGCACCCAGCACTATGCCAGTCTCGGTCTTGCTCCATCCGAATTCTTTTGCCATGGTGACGGCACAGATTGGCATGGCCATCCGTGACCAGTAGAGAAGACATGTGACTAACAGAAGCATCAGGGTCCAGGTCCGGGCCAGTGGCCTGCAGCAGGTGGGACATTATAATTACAAGTGTATCAATCTGGTGGCCCAGAGCACAGCACATTTTAGGTGCCTCACTCTGCAAACAATACGTTACAAGTTAGGCAGATATACAATTGATGGCATAGGATACTTATACAAAATTATCAGTAAGCTTTCAAAAGACCTACTGTAAAACATCCAGCATATCTAATAAACAAAAATGAACACTGATTCTTACTCATGAGGTTTTTTTTACTTTGTCTTCATAATGCTCATTCAGAACAACCTCTTAGCAATTGTAAATGTTTTTTAATAAAAAGTGTACATTTTTATTTTTTACTTTTAATGTCTAACTTTTAATGTCTATTGAAAGCCCATATTTATATCATAGTATCTCAACACAGTGTTGTCAAACAACCATTCTCTAACCGCAGAATTTAATCTTGTTGCACTGGTATTACTGTACCATGGTACATTTTTATTGATTGATTGATTGATTGGACTCATCCACCAAATACTTTATCAGGGGACTGCAGAGACAGGTAGACATTTTATTGCAACAATTGCCAGGAAGTGAAACTGTTTGTTGAATGCTTATATTCATCATGTATCATGGTATCTGAGCACAGTTTTCAAACAGCCATCCTGTAACCTCAGAATTTGATTACAGTCAGCAAACAGTAAATACACTGTCAGTAACAGAGTTAACAGTAACGTGTTACCAGTGCAACGGTGTATGTGTATACATATTGATATACATATACATAGATGTGTAGTGTGCATAGAAATAGTTTATCTGTTCAGTCCTTGGTAGCCCTAACTCTCTCTCTCTTACTAATATATATATATACATACACACACAGAGTTAGGAAACTATCAGGGACCGAATAGACAAAGAAGACGATTTCCATGGAACTATTGTCAGGAAGCGAAACTAAAGAAAGGTGTATAAAGGAAAGCGATGTGAATTTCACTGTCCACTGACAACTCCCGCTGATTATACGAGAATGATTAACGCGCCCCAGTAAGTTGTGTTCACAACAGAAACTATTGTTGATGCAGTTGACGCACAAATACACTGACATTTAGCATTGTTTCTAATCTCCTTTAATAAACAGTTTTTTTTATCATACCTTGGCCATACTGTTGTCTTGTCGTTAATTTGCGTTTTCTTTAGCCCGGACGTGTCACACACATTTCTGAAAGGTGTTTTCACAGAGTCCACGGGTGTTTGGAAGCGGTCCGATTCTTGTTCAGCAGCCATTAAATCCAACTGAGTAGAAACCGGACACTGAGAGCCGGTTCTGTGCCGAACAGGAAGGTTTACTACTGCATTTATAGAGCTCGCAGTGACAAAAAGGCCACACCTACATTAAACGTTTGAAGAACAACTCATCCTGGTTTGCATTCATCTTTAAGGACTGAAGGTGATTATTATCTAGGAATGTAGTAATTCTTGTACGTGTACTTATACAACATAATTCTGTATTAAATCTCTGTCATCTCTATGGAATCTGGTGATTCGACCTTAAAAAACCTGATTCAGAAAAACTCCAGTAAACAAAATCTACTGTGAAATCAACTTTATCCCAAACAAGCAGTGCAAAATGTGAACAAAAATGAAAGACAAAAATCATAAACATAAGGCTTCAAGACTGTAATGACAATATTTGCTATTTTGTAATTAAAATAGCTTATATAATGAAGGTCTAAAACTCAACACGGTTTACTCACAGTAACAGCATCTGTAGCTTCTCATAAATAAAAAATGAAGTTGTTGGATCCATGATAAAGATAGTTCTATTATATCAGTCTTTTCCTTTACATCCAGGAGCTAATATTTCCCTCAAAAAAGCCTAATATAAGCATGAGGACATACTACTGTATGTGAAAGTGAAGAGGTTGAAATAAAATATAAAATACAATACAAATTACAAAACCCATATGATATGACAGACTGAAAATGAGCAAAAACAGTACCATAGGAATATTCCATGTTCTTCAGAAAATAGGCTACCAGCATAGTAAATGGTAGATTACAATAAAAATTTAGGCTTACAGTTTTCAATCAGTATAATTTTGTTTGAAATATAATCATATACTGTTGCTTAAGTTACTTTTTATAGAGGCATCAAGAAAGAAAAAAAACATTATACATAGATTTATATTTGCTATCCAGTCACTGACTGTTCATAAATAAGACAATAAATTCAAATGTGTCCATGTGGATTACAGTCTCTACTTGGGGTCCTTAATGGTGCCCTTGCTGAGGTCTGTCATTCTGGAGTATTTCACTTTTTTCTGGTCCAGTTCGTTCTGAGCCCACAGTAAAAGCTTCAGCAGCTTTGCTAATTTTGGAGTAGATTCTCTGTTCTCATAGTCTAGAACAGCCTGGTTCACCTCGCTCCACACCTATAGAGGGAGACAGAACCCAGCATTAAGGAGGGAGAAATAAGTCCAGAATTCACACCAGGTACAGTAATGCCCCATACTTACCATATATAAACAGGAGAATCAACTGTCACGGAAACAAAGTTCACTAACCTATTATGATGGTTATGTCCTACACAAATAAACACACATACCTTCTGCCTCTGCATCATGTTGAGCAGGTCTCCAAACGGCGATTCTTCAGGGTTGTCGAAGGCGAGCAGTGCCAGGGTTCGCTCCATCTCAGTAAGGCATTCTCTGCTCTCCTCTCCCTGTTCGGCGAGCTGTGACTGCGCAAACTCCAGCGCCGCCTCAGTCTCCCGCAGACGGATGAGCTCAATCAGATGCTGCTGCTACAAGAAAAGTTAACAACAGTTTCACAGTAAGGATCAGGTCAAGTTTTACTATTAGGATTGTTTTCTTTACAGTACTTTTCCATTTTTGTCAGGGGCGTGTCTAGAGGGGTGGCACCGGCCCCCCACAAAATATGCTTGCCCCCCTAAGCTCTTTAGAGTTTGTGCTTAGTTGTGTTATTCAGCCATGAAGCACCAGCACCGCTTAAAATAGAAATTATGTTACGTCAGAGCAGACTGATCAGAGTATAACATCTCACGCGCTGACGTCATACGCTAATCGGCAGCGTAGCGCCGCTTGAAGTAGTACACACCTACTCACTGTCTGGTTCACTGCCAATTAATTCCCGTATATTTACGACGCCATTGGATTAGAGTGCTGTCAATTACACAATGCTCAACGCCATTGGATTAGAGTGCTGTTAATTTCACAATGCTCAACGCCATTGGATTAGAGTGCTGTTAATTTCACAATGCTCAACGCCATTGGATTAGAGTGCTGTTAATTTCACAATGCTCAAATGGCTAGATATTTTTGTTTAAAGCCAGTTTGTTATAAAGCAAATAGCCAATAAATAAATTTGCTTAAAAATCAGTATCAGTATCCAATTTGCTAGTTAAAAGAAAAGAAAATCTGAATTCTGAATCAGCTACGACCGGCGCATCACTAATTAAAATACTAAGTAAAAGGCCTCAAATTTGAAGTACAATCTGGGATGTCTTTTTCTATCATGTGCGGACCACAAACACCCCCGACCAGGTTAGAGGTGTGGCTGATTCCGTATTCAGAAAGGCGCGGAAAACAAATAACGCGTTCTAAGGAGAGATTAAAGGGACATGCTTAGCCGCTTGCTAGCGGTAGCCTGTTACATTACAGTACATAACATTTCACTTACCACATAAACAGAGTAAGGAGAGATGACTGATAGGATGATGGCGAATGATTTGCAGATCCTGAGCACCACTGACAAACATCTAATCTTGTAAAATGTGTGGTAAGCACTGCTGAGTGTTGCTCCGTACGTGTGATCGCGAATCTCGAAAGTGAAAGTAAAAAACAAGTGCGCGTTCATAAGTGATTTCAATGCCCCGCATATTAATAAGGGCTCCCTGATGCCTGCAGTTTATATACAGTATAACTGCCCAATGATATAATTGCGACAGAAGATATTGAAGTATATTTTTCCTCCCATCTCGTATCCATTACCTTTAGGACTTCCATGCCTTATGAGCAGTTGATTTATGCTAATCGATGGACTGTTATGTTAATAAGTCTCAGCATGTTATAATCATTGTATGGCTTGAGTTAAGGTAGCCTATCTTCTGAATTAAACAGTTTATCATACAGACTGAAAGCGTGAATCCCATCTCTCTCCGTTTTTGTATTTGGGTATTTGTGCGTGCATGCGGGGGAGGGGTCCGGTTTTCGAATAATAATCTAATAATACCCAGCGATTTTCGAATATTCTTTTTGCTTGGAATGCCCATCCCTAATATATATATATATATATGTTGAAAGCTCCTTAGAGTTTGTGCTTAGTTCTGTTATTCAGCCGTGATGCACCAGCACCGCTTAAAACAGAAATCATGTTACGTTTCTTCCTGTTGTTTCAAAGATTAAAGGCACAATCACTTTCCCAAATAGTCTGCAGTAACGTGGTAAATGCTCAAATGTGGGGTTTTAATAATGTTAGCGTTCTGACACTTGGAATTTTAAGATGTAGGCTAGAATAGTAAACACCTGTTTGTATTGAATAAACAAACGTTTTTGCGTGGTAGTCTTATGTTTTTTTTATTTTCGTTTGCAGTGTCCAAGAACAGCTTCACATTTAAATGATTTTGTCTTTAATCAGATGAGAATATGGCTATTAAATATACTATTTGTGTAATATTGATGATTAAGTTAGAGGTTTGTTTATTTTTAGATAGAATTTTGTGGAAAAAAACGAAAAGGGGACAAAGTCAGGCACAGCAGCAATACATTCAAGTTTTTTTTTTAAGAAGAAACCATGCATCTCAAAGACAGGTAGATGCAGTGCAGTGCAGTGCAGGTCAGAGCCAATCCACCAGGCAGGGCCAAGTTGGCCAGCAAATTAGCAGCCCTGAACCTGGCACACACACACACACACAGTCTGTTTGGACAATAAAATAAGTTGAGAACAATTATTGTCTGTTCAATGGTTTTTATTCATAAAAAGAGAGATGCGTTGTCCAGGCACTTGTGCAATGCCATTTTTATGTCATCCCACTTGTGTTGGGGCACATGACTTTTACCATGGGCCCCCCCTGACTGGTTCTTGGTCCCCCCTGTGCCACCCCATTAAAAAAATCCTAGAATCGCCCCTGCTGGGGTGGGGGTGAGGCCATCAAGAGGCCTTCATTACTACATTTGCATGTGCATTGTAGAACACAACATGCCAATGGATTCTGTTATGGTTTACAATGGCTCTCTAATGGCACTTTTCCACTGCATGGTACGGCACGATATGGTTCGATACGGTTCACTTTTGGGGGTTTTTCCACTGGGTACAGTACCTGGTACTTTTTTTCAGTACCACCTCGGTTGAGGTTCCAAGCGAACCGTACCGTTACCAAAACGTGACGCGTAAACTCTGCTGATCACTGATTGGCCGGAGAGAATCGTCACCACCTGCGTCACTGAACTTGCGACACGAGACAACAGACCTGCTCGATTTAAATCAGCACAGCCAGCGAAGGATCGAACACAACTGTTTTGGAGTCGCGGCAGTAGAGTTTATATTATAGAGCAACTATAACAACATGTGAATAATCCCGCCCACTTTAAAGCGGTACTAAACTGCAGTGGAAATGCAAACCGAGCCGAGCAGAGCCGTGCCGTGCCGTACTGAGAGCCGAGTCCTACCACGCAGTGGAAAAGCGCCATTAAATGCTCTGTAAGGCCTGGTTTACACCTGGTATTTAGATGCATTTTCGTTGATCTGATCACAAGAGAACAACACTAAATATAGGTGTAAACACGGTCTAAAACATACTTGTCCAATTTCAACCACTTCCAGAGGTAGTTAAAGATTGCTTTCATAAAGTAAACGCTCATGTGGTCAAATGCGTTCAAGCAATCACAAAAGACCACCGTCTTGCCACCCACTTCCCTAACATGTAACTGTAATGGGACAGGTTTTGAGAAAGCACAACAAAACAGTCAATTCAAACTATGCTTGCTACATTGTGCCAAAACACACAGATTAGGATTCAAATTGCAGTTACCTTATGCCAGTTTCACACTGCATGATTTTAACCCCCCGGTTTTCACTCGCAGACAGTTTTGTGGAAATTGCAGATTAATGCACAAAATCTGAGGCAAATTGGTGCTTGTTCACAAGTGACAACCGCATAGTGTGCATTATCACACAATTTGAGAAAAGCACTGTTGGCAACTGTTTGCAATTCTTCCTACTACTTCCTACTGAAAAGCTGTGTAATGCGAACCCCTAACAGCAAATAGATGGTTCCCCAGATAGTCATGCATTGTGAGAAGAGTAGACAAAACAACTTTGAAAATCGTGCAGTGTGTGCCCAGCTTAAGGTGACC